CAGAATGTGTCCGTACTTTGCGTCTGAGTTTTGAGCGTATTCCAGTGTACGCCCAAAAACGTCGGGTCGATACCTAGGTTTTCCTGGTCGCAAAAAGCTAGCGTACGCTGGCATACTGTCGAAACGTTAGGTCCATATCTATACATTGCTAGTCGCTCAAAACGCTGCTGTACGCTCTAAACGCTGATGCGAAGTAAGGACGGACTCCTACTGCGTGCTTTGTTTTTTCATTCATTTCTTGTTTTCAGAACTACAGGCCAACACTCAATATTATGGTCGGCGACCCTTTGGAGTCGGCTTATTAATTGCGGGATACGATGTGAGATTTACAATATTTCCTGCTACTTGTTTGTGTTAACTAGTTCAGCTTTTCTTGTATTTTCAAAATAAATGTGTTGCATTACTATTGTTCACTTTCATGAGGTAGGCATTCTTTTTGCAGAAAGATGGTACACACATTGTGCAGTCGGATCCATCAGCAGAGGTTGTGGAAATGTTCGCATCATCCATCGGTGCCAGATCGCAATCAGCGCGCACTTACTTGGAGAGGCACTTGGACAAATTTAGGGAAGGTAAAGATTTGCGAGTTACCTTCTCAAGAGTCTTATAATTACTTCATTCTAGCTGTATTGCGCAAGAGGCTTACAATTTTTTTTACGCGGCCATGCTTCCTCTTGATACTTTTCACTTGAATTTTCGCATGCTGTTTCTGTACTTGTTTGTTGCGATTATCAATTTAGCTAGTGCCGATGATTTAATTCGACATGCTCTTCTGGCTCTGAGAGACACCTTGCCTGCGGAGGAGAATTTGACGAGTCAGGTACGGAGTTGTGAACTACTCTGAATTCCATTGTTGAGACATTCCAACAAAGGATGAGAACGCTAAAAGAGCTCCTGCTCGTTACTCTTACCTTACCGTATTTATTAGTCAAACATCTTTAGGAAGAACATCAGAAGACCTTACTGACCTGGGTTTGAGAATGTGGAAATTTAGACGTTCCTCGCTCTGAGACGTCCCCACGTAAAAATAAAGTGTGGTGGGCTGTCGCTGCAGTCTATTTCCTCAGACACGGCACTTTACCGTTACCCGTAATTTTGTTATGTCTGTAGAACCACCGTCCACACAAATTGCTTGGTGGTTCTGAGAATTTTACTCTAAACGTTATAGGCAGCTGTGGTTATATTTGTCTCACCCTTTACAAATTTCATATTTCATCATAACAAATTTCTTATTTCATCATTGCGTACGTACTCAGAACGTCTGCACTACCACAGAACACACATGTGGCTTCAATATGCGAGTTAGTTACTCGAAAACGGAAAAGGCGGACACATCATCCCGTGATTCTGGATCATTCGTCCTGAACCTTGTATGGCCATAGCGAGGCAGCATCAAGCGACCATCAAAGCAGAATCGAGGGAGGAGATCTCTTCCCATTTTTCCTTTTGACCATCTGATGGTGTTTAAGCTGCTTGGATTTTTTGAAATAAAATCCCATGCATACGGTTGTTACACCGTAGTTGCACTTCGCGGCTTTCCTACTTTCCCATTACATTACCATGAGCGGCCTAGAGAGGAAAGATGAATAGACCGTAATTCGCCATCT